CACACACACAAAGAACCAGTAAAAGCTTTGAGAACTCTCAGAGTGGTCACTGAGAGTGGGGCAAGTGCCTTACATTTTTTAAAAATATATTTTATTGATTATGCTATTACACTTGTCCCATCTTCCCTTCATTCCCCTCTGCCCTGCACAGCCCCCCCACCCACATTTCTCCCCTTTAGTTCATGTCCATGGGTTGTACATATAAGTTCTTTGGCTTCTACATTTCCTGTACTATTCGTAGCCCCTGCTTTCTATTTTCTACCTATCATGTATGTTACTTATTCTCTGTACCTTTTCCTCCTCTCTCCCCAATCCATTCCCCTGTTATTAACCTCCATGTGATCTCCATTTCTGTGGTCCCTTTCCTGTTCTATTTGTTTGATTAGTTTGGTTTTGTTTTTGTTTTAGGTGTGGTTGTTAATGATTGTGAGTTTGTTGTCATTTTACTGTTCATATTTTTTATCTTCTTTTTCTTAGATAAATCCCTTTAACATTTCATATAATAAGGGCTTGGTGATGATGAACTCCTTTAACTTGACCTTATCTGAGAAGCACTTTATCTGCCCTTCCATTCTAAATGAGAGCTTTGCTGGATAGAGCAATCTTGGATGGAGGTCCTTGCTTTTCATGACTTGGAATACTTCTTTCCAGCCCCTTCTTGCCTGCAAGATTTCTTTTGAGAAATCAGCTGACAGTCTGATGGGAACTCCTTTGTAGGTAACTGTCCCCTGATTCTCTCCTTCATTTTCATCTTGGCTAATGTAATTATGATGTGCCTTGGTGTGTTCCTCCATGGGTCCAACTTCTTTGGGACTCTCTGAGCTTCCTGGACTTCCTGGAAGTCTATTTCCTTTGCCAGATTGGGGAAGTTCTCCTTTATTATTTGTTCAAATAACTTTTCCACTTGTTGCTCTTCCTCTTCTCCTTCTGGTACCCCTATAATTTGGATGTTGGTACGTTTAAAGATATCCTGGAGGTCCCTAAGCCTCTCCTCATTTTTTTGAATTCTTGTTTCTTCATTCTTTTCTGATTGGATGTTTTTCCTTCCTTCTGGTCCACACTGTTGATCTGAGTCCCAGCTTCCTTCCCCTCACTGTTGGTTTCCTGTACATTTTCCTTTATTTCACTTAGCATAGCCTTCATTTTTTCATCTAATTTTCGACCAAATTCAGCCAGTTCTGTGAGCATCCTGATCACCAGTGCTTTGAACTGTGCATCTGATAGGTTGGCTATGTCTTTGTTGCTTAGTTGTATTTTTTCTGGAGCTTTGATCTGTTCTTCCATTTGAGCCATTTTTTTTTTTTTGGTCTTGTCTTGCCTGTTATGTATGAGGGGCAGAGCCTTAGGTGTTCACCAGGGTGGGGTAACCCAAGTAGCTGGGTTGTGACTCTGTATGTGGGGGCAGGGTCTGAGAGGGAACGATGGTGTTTGCTCTGCTTTCTGCGAGATTTCAGTCACTTCCCCCACTTCCCACAAGCAAGTTGGGCCCTTCTGGTGCTGATTCCCATGTGGGTGGGCTTGTGCATGTTCTAGGACCCTGTGGGTCTCTCCAATGAACTCTCCTGTGAGACTGGGAGTCTCTCCCGACACCTCAGCCCCCACAGGTGTTTTCAGTTGGTGGTTTGAGCCTTTATTTACCTGAGATGGGGCCCTGGGTTGTGTAGTCCGTCCCAGTTTTCCTTCCTGGTTTATCTGCACTCGAATGTGGGACTGCTGGGTCCGCAGTGCTGCCTTGCTGACCAGCTGCAGCCTTGTGCGCCCTGCTCCACCATCTGCCACCTCGCTGGGTCCGCCAGCCACCGCCCTGCCATGAGTCCTCTCTGCCCGGCTGCCTGGCTCCACCCCCCCTACCGGTCTGGATGAATGTGTCTTCTTTGACTCCTTGGTTGTCGGACTTCATACAGTTTAATTTTCTGTCAATTCTGGGTTTTTTTGTTTGTAAATTGTTGTTGTTTTTCTTTGGGTTGTTCGAGGAGCAAAGTGTGTCTACCTATGCCTCCATCTTGGCCAGAAATCTCCAAATGCCTTAAATTTTAATCACATTTCTCAGGCTGAGACTCTGATCAGAATGGGAGAAATTGTTAAAAAATACATAAACAAAGAGACCCTTACATAAGCAAAGTGACTCCATTCACTTGCCCCCAGGACAACAAACTAAGATTTAGTTGCAGTTTCAGTCTTTTCTGGGAACATGACCTCTAATTAGTCAATATGGCATTTCCCAATTCGCATTAGTGAGGTGGTCTGCATGGTAGACCTCCTGCCCTTTCCCCAAAGGAAGGTGACCTTGCCTAAAGTAATCCTTTCTTTTCTTATTTAGATTATATTTATTTATTTTTAGAGAGGGGTGGCGAGGGAAGAGGAGAGGGAGAGAAATACTCATGGGATAGAGAAACACCAATCAGTTGCCTGTTGTATGCGCCCCAACCTGAATGAACCCACGAAGAAGGCACGTGCCCTGAACTCGGAATTGAACCGGTGACCTTTCACTTTGAGGAACAGTGCCCAACCCGCTGAGCCACACCAGTCAGCGCCCTTTCTCTACCACTTCCTTGTCCCACCCGCTTTCTGCCTCAAACTCCCCCCACCCCCCACAGCTTTGTACACTCCTCAGAACCTTTCTGTTTGCTGGCTGAGATGCTGCCTGATTATTGAAGCAATTACTGAAGCCATTCGGAATCTTCAGATTTACTCTGTTGAATTTTTGTTTTTTTAGCATGTCCTTCATGACATTAACATTTTTTGAAGAAAGGCAGTTATTTTGTGGTATGTCTCATGACTCTTTTATTGTTACTATTGAAATAATATTTGACAAACAACATTGTGTAAATATAAAGTGTGCTACCTGTTAATTTAATACATTTATATAATATGATTACAATTATAGCAATAATTAGTATCTCTGTCACATTGCATAAATACCATTTCATTTTAGTGGTTGGAATAATTAAGTTATAGTGTTTTTGCAAGTTTGATGATTGCAATACAGTATTGTTGTCTGTATTCACTGTACTGTGCATTAGCTCTCTGGTTTACTGCTTGTTGCAAGTTTCTACCCTTAAACCACATCTGACCTATTCCTTACCCCCCTGTCCCCATTTCTTGTGATTCTTTGTGTGCTTATGATTACTTGCTTTTGTGGCCATATTTGGGTATCACATTTACATGAAATATCCAGCATGGTTAAATCCATAAAGACAGAAAGAAGATTGGTGGTCACCGGTGCTGGGGGAGGGAGAAAAACTGTTTAATGGGTAGGGTGTGTGCTCCTGGGATGATGAAAATATTTTGGAACTACATAGAAGTGGCGGTTGTGGAACCGTGCATCCTGGGCTTTGTCGCCCTTCTATATGACCTGACAATTTGTGTTAAAGGAAACAGGTTTTTATTAACAGGGTTCCAACCTTCAGGGGGCTGAGAGCACTCCTGCTCAGAGCCCTTCTCTCCCACAAGACCCAGAACTTCCCCTTGCTTCTCAAAAGACTGCAAGCTGAAACCAGGCCCAGAAGTTCCCCATTTCCTAATCTGTCTTTAAGCTGGTCATGCAAACAGATCCTCATCCTCTCTGGCACGTGCACTTGTGGGTTTCAGAGCTGACATCCTCTCTCAGCAGCTCTCTTTCAGGACCTGGGTGTGCCGCTCCCAGTCTTCATGTAGTATTGCAAAAACCATGTGCCCTGCACAGTACCCCAGAGGCTGGGGCCCAGGGAGGCACGTGTCCCAGCGTGGGACCCTGCCTTCAGGGGTGGGCTCCCATCTATGCGGGGTCTGAGCTCCTGGGGGGCCCGGCGTCTGCCTGGTCTGCTCTGCTCCGACCTACCCCATTACAGTTGCACAGCCTTACAGATTTTCTAGATGCCTCTGAATTCTTCACTTCAAACTGGTTATTTTTATGTTATATGAATTTCACCTAATAATTAACTTAGGAAAATCCCAGTGTTTAAATGGCTTTGCTTGCTGCACCCCCACATACAGACCATAGATTTCTCAGCAGATAGAAATTCCATTTAAAAACTTATTGCACTGTGGCTGGTGTAGCTCAGTGGATTGAGTGCTAGCCTATGCAGACTGAAGGGTCGCTGGTTCGATTCCCAGTCAGGGCACATGCCTGGGTTGCAGGCCAGGTCCCCAGTTGCGGGTGTGGGAGAGACAACCACACATTGATATTTCTCCCCCTCTCTTTCTCCTTTCCTTCCCCTCTCTCTAAAAATAAATAAAATCTTTAAAAATAAACTTATTGTATGACAATTGCAATGATTTCTAAGGAATTGCAGATTGATTTTTGATGGGAGAATTGATATGACAGAAAACCTATATATTCCCATCAGTGAATATTTAAGGTTTAATGTATTATGTACAGTTTTCTATTTTGAAAAATTCCCAAGTTTGGGATGGATGTGAAAAGACAAAAATATGTTTTCTATCAAGTTTGGATGATTTTTTTGAATACTAAAAAAGTTTTCTAAAAACAGGAGAACTTCACTACGTTACATTTGGACATGAACTACAGCATGTTAAAATTCTAAGTCTAGGGGAAATCTAGATAGCTTGTCTCCCTCTGCACAGGCAGATTCCAGGTTTTCCTGTTGTTTACTTTGCCAGCTTCAAGCTGAACTCCCACAGTCACTTACCCGGAACTCACGTCACTCTTTACTAGACGTTGCCTTTCTCGATTCCTTTCCTGCATCGGTGGGAGATGCACATCCTGCCACACTCCCGCGGATTAGAAAAAGGGAAGTGTTCGTTGAGTGCGCTGCAGCAGAGACCTCAGAGAGGCAGTGGTGGTCACCAAGGACCTAGAGTCTGGTCAGGAAAAGTCAGTCTTTGCCTTTGCTTCGTTGTCACCCTTCAGTCACTGTCACAGTCTGCAGAACACGGATGTGCTTTGAAAAGATTTCTCATGTGTGCGAAATGAAGCTTTCTAAATCTGCCTTTGGCAGCTGACATCCGATGTGCATGCAGTTCTCTCAGCAGTGGTTTCTTTGCTTCGCTCCTCCCAGGCGAGAGGAAAGATGCTGTCCCGGCTAAGAGCGGTCGCCGCTCCCTGCGCTCTGGCGCGCCGCCACGTCCACACGAGGGAGAAGGGCAAGCCGCTCATGTTGAACCCACGCACAAACAAGGTGAGTGACATTACAGCCAACACGCCTTTTCTCTTGCCCTGGTAGTGGTTTGGTTTGATGTATTTTAGGCTGATGAAGTGAACTTTCCTGTTTTGTGGCTTTATACTAAAACTATTCACTGGTGTTTGCTTTTTCTGCATGAACTTGTCACTTTTCTCCATATGGCGAGAGTCATGGCTGCTTTATAGCTCTCAAATTTTGCCCCTGACAATTGTCTGCCACCAGGAAGGGGCTGGCTGTGTTTCCTAGTTCTAGCTCAGGAAAATCCACAGGATAGCGGTCTGGCCAGGACTTCTGGCCAGGACTTCTGGCCAGGTGTGGAGTATTTCGATTGGCCCTGCTCAGATCAGCTGCTCAGCGCGGACCAATCAGTTGGGCCCTTGGAAGATGAGGTCAAAAGTGTAAAATGACAGTTAATCTGAGGCCCACCCCAGCTCCGCGCAGCTTTTTGGGCACAAATCAATACATGCAGTTAATTGTGCCCATTAATCACACTACTGCTTCAGAAGAGAGAGACCTCTGACCCTTGGTGCAGTCTTGGGGCAGAGGCGATGGACAACACTGAGCCTTTATTCCTGTGCCTTTATTACTTGTGCCTTTACTCTCCTTGTCCGTGCCGGGTTCAGTGGGCAGTCCATCTGTGTTCTTTAGGAGCAGCAGTAAGTAAACACAGTTGTGGAAAGAGATTTCTTACAGGAAGCTTGCAAGAGGATACTCAGGTTTATTACAATACATGAAGTTTACCTTTTGAGAATGGTGCATTCAGGTGAAGGTGTAGCTTATTTTAAAACCACAGTAAAAAATGTGCCAATCCCATTTATTTATCCCATTATGGGGTGGGGGGATAAATACAGGAGTTGGATAACGTGATATGTTTTGAGGGGTTTCAGGCCTAGAAAGGGGAACTGGACCGAGGGTCACATGGAGCACCCTGTCTTTGCACTTTTGGTACCTGGTCGGAATGGGAATTCAGCAAGCAGTCGGTGAGGGAGATGAAGCTGAATGAGGGGATATTCTCACTCTCTCTTATTTCTACCTCGTCTCCATAAATCTTACCTGCTCTTCAAGGTGCAGCTCACTCAAACTCCAGTTCTATAGAGCCTTTTCACACCACCATTGACGGGAATAATTGCTCCCTTCTCCGAAAGCCTGTAGCAGCTTTTATCTTCCTCTCCCTGTGGCAGGTAGTCTGTGTTGCTTCATGCTTCTTTTTTCCTGTCTTCAGCTGCCATTGAAATAATGGCATTTACATTTTCATGACTTGATATTTCTTTTAACTGTATTTCCAGTTCCTTTTGGGCAGGGACCATTAAAAATTTCTTTGTCTCTTTTATAATGCCATGGGTATAGTAAACCTTTGATAAAAATATGTTGGTTTTATTTTATTATAGAAACTGTATAAAACCTACTTTGTGGGGGTTATAAGAAATTTATAAAGTATATTGTGGGAAATGAACTTTAAGGAGGAGGATAGTCTAGATGCATTACAGTATTTTTTTTTAATAAAAATCTAATGCCCGGCCTTCCGAAATCTCTAAGGTTGAAGAGCATCTGTTTGGCTACCTCACTGAAGGACCACTGTTGGAAATCCCTTAAGCATTTTGCTGTGGTTGTATGTTTAAGGAGGAACACAGACTAGTGATTCCCAGTTGCAGGGTCATGAACTCCTTGGGGACTTTCATGTAAAGAAGTCAGGTTTGTCGTGTTCCAAACATTGTAGACTAAATTAACAATTTTTTAAATGTTTATAAATACTGTTTTAAGAGTATGCTGCTGCTGTTATTAATAAAATAGTGATTAAAGGTAGTAAAGAATTCCTAATTCTTTTAAATGTTATGTCTGTAATCACCATCTACTCAAGGCATACCTGTTACTCTGTCTGTGAGGAGGCCCTGGGATCCTCCTGAACCCTTTTCCCTTGCCACAGTCCCTACTCTCCAGGTGTGACGGTCAAAGCCAACTCCTTCCACGGCAAGTTCAGAGCTCCAAGAGAGGCCAGGGTGGGGTCCTGCCTTTTTTTTCTTAACTGCGTGTCTGGGAGATCTTTCTGTGACACACAGATGTTTAGCTGTGATGGTATTTCATGGTATAGAGATACCATAGATTCCTAAACTGTTCCATAAGTGAAGGAGTGGTAGTTTGTAATAGCCAGGAGAACCGGAAACAGTGCTGGAACAAATTTCTCTGTATACGTGTCTTTACTCTGTGTATGAATATTTATCTAGGATGGCTCTCTAGGGTAGAATTGCTTTATTATAGAGTAGGTAAATTTAAAAGGTTAAGATTACTTTAGAATTGCCTTCCCAAAAGCCTAAATCTGCTTACATTTCCAGAAATGGTATGTGAAAGTAACTCTTGACCGCGTCTTCTCCAATACTAGACATGATCAGTCTTACAAGTTTTTGACAGTGTGGGCGAAAGTGATACCTCACTGGTTTTTTAAAACATGTATATGTTTAAGTTACATCTTCTGGGACGTCCCTCCTGCTACCCTAGTAACACTTTTTCATCTTTTTAACCCTCCTTTTTAGGGAATGGCATTTACATTACAAGAACGACAGATGCTTGGTCTTCAAGGACTTCTGCCTCCCAAAATCGAGACCCAAGACATTCAAGCCTTACGGTTCCATCGAAACATGAAAAAATTAAGTTCCCCTTTGGAAAAGTAAGGATTAATTAGATGTGTACTTTTCACTGGTGTTCTGACCAGGAAAATGGGGAGCGTGTGGTTATTACAACCTGAGAATCTTACAGCCTCGTAATGAAGTTTGTGCTGCAGTCAGCCAGCTGTTACTTTTGTAGTGATGATGCCTTCTTCACCACAGGGAATACTTCGCTTGTTTCCCCTGTTGTAAAGTTTAGCGGAAATCAGGTTGTTATGCTTAAAATCACAGAGCATTTCAGGTTTGATTGGAGTGTTAGAAGGAAAAGCTGTCATCTAATTTGCACCCATTCACTTCAACAGCTTTTATGGGTCACTTACTTTGTGTGTGCCGCCATCCTAGCCACTGAGGATGGAAAGTGGATAATAGGGTGGCCATATACTGGGTGGCCATATACTGTATCATTTAGTCCAGGGCACTTTGGGAAGTGAAAGAGGAGTAGCTGAACCTGGCCCAGGCACACTGGAGTGTGCTGTGTCCATTGTTGCACTGAATCCTGCAGTATGCAGGGCGGTGAGCCAAAGCTACATGCAGAGGATATTGTGAAAGCTCAAAGATGGGCACCGAATCCAACTTGGAGAATCAGTGACAGCTTCCCGGAGGACGTGATGCCTAGCTGAGTTTTAATAATATGTTACAGCTTTCCAGCAAACTGAGAAAGAGGGGCAAGGTCTTGAGGGTAGAAGGATCAGTTTAAGTATAGGCTTTAAAATGTCTGTTGGGAGTGAGGACAGAAGCATGGCCCTGTGAGAGGCGCCCCCGGTCTCTCCCCTTGTAGTTACAAATTGAGCATCTGCAATTCAACAAACTTTCCTACTCAGCACAAACACATCTGGCAGATCTGCACATTGTAACATCTGAAGGTGGGCCATCAGAGTGAGGGTGGGCTGGGGAGCCCTGGAGGCAGCCCAGGGCTCACTGGGGGTTTTGGGAGAGGGGAGAAATCAGGTAGCAGCAAGCACTCTGTGCAGCCCTGAGTAGAGAAGTAAGAGCAGCGTTCCTGCCTGAGTGTGAACCCAGTGACGGGGCAGAGACAGAGAGCATTCTACCCTGGCTGCTTTTAGAGAGCATGAAAGTAGGACTGTGTGTGACTACAGGGTGTGACTCCAGGCAACTGCGAAGCAGGAGTTGTGATGCACTGAGGACCTGAAGTAAATTCATTATGAAAATAAGGGTGAAAAGTAGAGATCTCAATAACTATTTTAGGAGCCTAAGCCTATTTAACTAATGTTCAGAAATTATTCAAGGAGAATAGAAATGGTTAGAATTATGTTACAGTAGACTGGGGAAGAATAGATTGTGTGTATAAAGAAAGTTCCTGTGGCAGTCTAGGTGAGAAATGGCGGTGGCTTGGACTGGGTGGGATTGGAGGAAGGAAATAGATATGTTTGAAAGATCTTTAGCCGGTAGACTCTGTAGGACTAGATGGTTTACTAGATGGAGTAGGGAGGGGGGGCAGGGAGGAAACCGAATGGACTTTGCAATTCCCATTTGTTCAGATGACAACAGTAGGAGAATCCGGTTGGGGGAAAAGAGTAATGAGTCAGTTATAGACATATTTAACTCAAGATAATTACTGATTTTTCAAGCCGACATTTCCCCGTTTTCTAAGCTTTATTCTTTAGAAGCTGTCATTTCAATATTTATGAATTGACCGCTGTCTCCTTCGTGCTCTATCTAGACCTGATAATGTTGGAATTCCCTGGGGACAGGGGTCCCTTCCTGCATGCCTGGCGTTAAAATAGTGCCTGACGCATAGTTAGTGTTTAGTAAATACCCGAGTGGATGCCACTTTATTTTGCTTCCTTATTTACATGTCAGTCACCTCCCAGGTTAGTTCCTTGAGGTTGGGTGCTGGTGGTGATCTTTGCGCTGCCAGTGCCTGGCCCAGAGCCTCACTCGCGGCAAGGACTCAGCAAAAGTTAGCCACAGTTTCTATAGTTACTCTCTCAATCGTTGTCGTTATCATCTACCATTTAAGTACATTTCAATTTGTTACTTTTTACCCCTAAGTATTATTAAATAATGGTAATTTAGGGTTTTGCTTTCCAGGAGGGGGTAGTCCTCAATTTTAGATAGTTACATTTAACTTTTGAAGGACAAAACTTTGTGATCCTGGCTGATGCAGACATTGCTTACTGTGCTTAATTTCAGATTCATCTATGTAATGGGAATACAAGAAAGAAATGAAAAACTGTTTTATAGAATACTGCAAGACGATATCGAAAACCTGTTGCCAATCGTGTACACACCCACAGTTGGTCTTGCCTGCTCCCAGTATGGACATATCTTTAGAAGACCTAAGTAAGGCTTATTTTTTAGAAAATATATTTGAAAATGATTATTGCGCAGGAAAAAACATCATTCCATGACATCGATTACATTTCTGTTTTATTTGTTGCAGTCTTAATCTCAACCACATTTCCCACCTCACAAAAGCTTACTTTGAACAAAAAGGGATTAATGAAAACCCAACACATTTTTATCTTTTATTTTTGTAGAAATAGCATCATTCTTTATTTATTTTCAGAGAAGGGAGAAGGGAGGGAGAGAAACATCGATATGAGAGAGAAGCATTGATCAGTTACCCCTTGCACACACCTGGACTGGGGACCAAACCTGTGAACCAGGAGGCGGGTGCCCTGACTGGGCATCAAACCAGGGACTCTGCATTGTGCCGAACGACACCCAACCAACTGAGCCACCTCTGTTAGCGCAAGCGTCATTCTTTCTAACCTTCATTAAATTCCGGTCGTTGGAGGAAATTTGCATTTTTGTGCCAAAAGTAAAAGTTCTCTCTCTTATTTTTAAAACTGATGGCAGAGTCTCCAGAATTACCATTAATGTTTTTGACAACCTGGACAAATTAAGAGATTGATTCTAGCCCTGACCGGATAGCCACGGTACACCAGGGCCGCAGGTTCGATCCCCGATTACAGCACACACAAGAAGCAACTGATGAATGCGTAAATAAGTGGGACAACAGATTGATGTTTGTCTCTCTCTCCCTCCCCAAGCCCCCTTCGTTCCTCTAAAATCAGTTTAAAAAGTTGGGAAGAAGTCGATTCTCACTTTTTGTCAGCTTTCATTTCTGTTGTTTGTCAATTTTATGAACTTCTATAAATTTTAACTTTGCATAATTCTGGCACCTCCAGATGGTTTAAGTGGAAAGAGACCGAAATGAGCATTGACCCAAGTCTTTGCATTTAGTGGCTTTATCCCCCCGAACCTGTTTTCTCCTCATAAAGTAGCAAGACCAGCGCCCGTCGAAGAGCTGATGAGAAGGTCAGACGAGGAAACTGATGTGACTGATGGTTGTTTGTCACGTTACAAGCATTATTTAAATGCTCTTTTTACTTAATTTGAGTTTTCTGATCTTGTTGCTTTAACCTGTTGTTTTCCTCGATCCTGATGTCTTTCCCATGCCCTCCTTGCATGTGGATACAACTTCAGGACTTCAGACAGTGTGTGAGAGCATTTGTCTTCAGTCCCCCCTCGTCTAGCCTAGGGGCTGTCAGACAGCAAGCGCCTGTGGGACTCACTGAAGTGTCGATCCCCGCCAGCTTTCTCTCCTTTTCATTCCCGAGATGCTGATGAAAGGAGAAAGGTCAGAGGTCCGGATTTTACGACCACCACTGGTGGCCGTGTCGTAGGGGTTCCCTCAGAGACTCTCTGAGAACACGGTTCTGTCCTGTGTGCTGCCATCGGTTGATGTGTCTGAAACATTTCTGTGACATTATCCAGCTGTTTGGCTCTTTCATAGTTCCTTTTTCATGGAGAGCAGTGGTTCTCAATCCAGACCAGAGGCCAGAGGGAAACTAAAAAACAGTGGTGCCTGGGCCTCACGTGCAGAGACCCTGATTTAGTTAGTCTAGAGTTGGGCCCAAGCACCGGCGTTTCACAGAAGCTCCTGGGGTGATTCTGGGGTGCACCCGGAGTCGGGGACTGGCATGACACATAAGGCGCATGGCTTTTGGGTGAGGACAGAACCGTCACCTATCATTGTAGTGTGCTGCTGCAGTGGTTTTCTGTTGGTCGGTAAGTCCGATCTAAAACTCACCCCAGGCAAGTTAAATCAGGATCTGTGGGGGTGGGACCCCAGCATTTTTAAAAAGCTCATCAGATGATTCTGTTAAGCAGCTGTGGTTGAGAAACTGTTTATAAACTGATCTGAGCTAGGACAGTGATGCCAAAGTTAAGATACCAATGAGGAGAGGTAGGTGTAAGAATCAGTTTGGAGGCCCTCGGCAAAGCTGTTGGTCCTCATCTCTACCCGGACCTACTTCTTAGAACCTATATGTTTTGTTTTGTTTCCCTCCCTCGTTTCCTTTTCTGAAGTCTGGATCAATTATAGTTGGATAACAGTATGCTGTGTGTTTAAAATAACCCCACTTTCTCCTGATGCGTCAAGGATGGCAACTTTTATGTGAAACTACTGTAGTTTTCTTTCCTGTTCTTTCAAATTTTAATTTTTTCAGTTTCAGTGAGTTTTAGCAGTAGTTTATTTAGCCTTATTATGCTGCATTGGTGTTAATTTTTATGTTGCCTTTTTATTGGGGGTATATTTGGTTTGTTTGAAAATGACATGCGGATACATTTTTTCCTTGTGTAAAATAATCACATCATTTACTAATAATCTTTGTTGCAACTACTGTGTGAGCAATGCAATTACAGTTTGAAGTAGTTGAAAGTGTTTGAAAATAAACCAGTGTGACTTTGCTAAATCTGCCTGGAAATTATACTGTGTCTTGATGTTTTATTAAAATATCTAACTATTCCAGTTATGAACAAAGACTTAGAAAAAACAAAAAAACTCCTGTGAAATGCAAAGGTGTTTTTGTTCTGTTGCAGGGGATTATTTATTTCAATCTCAGACAGAGGTCATGTTAGATCAATTGTGGATAACTGGCCAGAAAATCATGTTAAGGTACTAATAGCACAACCTTCCTTTTCACAATGTTATTTCTTTCCTTGTAAGTTACCTCTAAATTTCCAAGAACAGTTTTTCATTGTTGCTCTGATGTATTTTGCACTTATATACATGAAGACTTAGTGCTCTGAGACCATGATGGTAATAATTACAAACTGGGTTACTGGTACAGAGTTTGACTTTGGGAAAGAAATTGGAGCTACTACACAAGATGAGCCTGCTCGCTGTCATTACCACTGGTATCTCCTGCCGTTTCTCTATTTCTTTTCTACTTGGATTTGTATTAATATTTTCTATTTTAATTAATATGAACCAATTAATAATACTACATTATTAAAATGACATAAAACTTTTATTTGGTGAGCAGTGGAGAGGATTCATTGGGCCTTTTTTCTTCTAAGTCTGATAGATTTAAATCCTTAAGCAAATATAAAACACTTGGCATTTCAAATTTAGCAAATATGTTGGTCAATCTGGCTGTCTTTCATAAAATAAAATCTAATGACTTAAGATCTTCTGTTAGGCTTTAGTGTTTACTACATGCAGTAATCTTACTTGCCTTTATTTTATCTTCCTCACCTAAATAATCTTTGATGAATAATCATTAGTTCTAATAATCTAGAAAAAATTTGGCCAAATAATTAAACTCACAGTATTCAGACCTTATAGACAGGTGTATTTTTTATTCTAGATCTTTTTCTCTTTCATCATTGCTAAGGTTTTTCTTGTTTGGCCTAGATTATTATGTTGGAGTAGCATGTTTATGTTTAAACTCTTATTTTTTCTCTTATAGTTAATCTATCAGAAGTTTGTTCTCTGCCCGCCTGTTTATTCTCTGTGAGATGTTTAAGTTGATTCTCCAGTCAGGAGCATTCTTTTCCTAAACCAAAGACAGGAAATCAAATCTAGTTCATTCTGGTTTTGACATCTACATTCTAGAAATCCTAGAATTTTAAGTATGCTTGGCTTGTTTATTTTGGAAGTTAGTCAAGAAGTAATTTTATTTTTAAAAAGTGAAAATAAAACTATCAAGAAAATCTTTGTAAAATGCTTTTCTTTAATATCCCATTTTTTTACTTTTAATTAATTGATTATTTTTATTTATTTATTTTTTTGTAATCAAGGCTGTGGTGGTGACTGATGGAGAGAGGATTCTGGGTCTCGGAGACCTGGGTGTCTATGGCATGGGCATCCCAGTGGGCAAACTCTGTCTGTACACTGCCTGTGCAGGAATACGGCCTGACAGGTGCCTGCCCGTGTGCATTGACGTGGGGACCGACAACCCGGTGAGTAAGGCCGTTTCCCACTCTGATCCTCCTCCCGCACTAAAAACTGTTTCTTATTACATTCCTCTTGTGAGGACAATACAAGGAGGGAAATGTTTGTGATTAGATGTTGGTCTTTGTCTTAAACTCTGCTTTTAATATTTATGTAAATAGTAGTAAATGAAACCTATTAAAGATTTCTTAAAGAAGGGCAATAAGGTTTAAAAGACTATGTCAGTAATTTTTTTATTTTGTAATTTTTGTTTTAAAGATTATATTTAAACTGATTATGAACAAAATAATTTTATTTCTGCATTTGATCTATTTTATAGGCACTGTTAAAAGATCCATTTTACATGGGCCTGTATCAGGAAAGAGATAGATCACAACGTTATGATGATCTGATTGATGAGTTTATGAAAGCCATTACTGACAGGTATTTTTTTTTTAAGTTCAAGTATATAAAGGCATCTTTAATGTATAAAACAGCCCTGGCTGGTGTGGCTCGGTGGATTGAACATTGAGAAAGGTCGTGGTTCGATTCCTCGTCAAAGCACCTGCCTGGGCTGTGGGCCAGGTCCTTGGTTGGGGGGCGTGCAGGAGGCAGCCAATTGATTTCTTTTTTTTTTATAACAAATCACAGTTTTGTTTTATTCCTTTGTCTCTTATGAAGATAGGTAGGAGATTACATAAGGAGATTACATTTTTAAGAACTTGGGTTCTTTCCTGCGGATCGGATGCGCTGATACGTGGCGATGGCTAGTCTGCCCTGCTATCTCCCTGAGTTGTCCAGACATCTCGGGGGCAGCCTGCGTTCACTGCATCCGTCTTGACCTCAGTGTCCAGCTCGCTCAGCCCTCGGCATCAGGCTCGCTCCCACCATTCCAGTGAAGTTCTTGCGCCGCTTTCACATTGTAAATTCACTCACCATTCAGTCCTCCTCTCTCTCTGCCTGTCTGCAGCATCTGACCAGGTTTTCCACTCCCGCATCCTGGAGATTCCCTCTTCTCTTGAATACTAAGATTTTCCTCACTTGCTCTTTTCACCCACCTTTTCTTTTCTTTAGCCATCCTCACTGGTTCTTGCTCAGTTTTATTAAATGTGAATGAGTACATGGTTCTCTTCTCTTCGAGTCATGTAAGCTACGACCTTTATGCATGTGACTCCTAGCCCCGTGGAAACCCACCTGTGTAGTCTCACTCACTCTGATGCCCGTCTTTCCAACACCTGGAATTCCCCATCCAGACATTCTCTGCCATGTTCATGTCCAAAACTCTTCTCAACTGCTTATCTTCTAAACTGCTTATCTTCTGTGTGTGCAGCCTCTATTAATGCAGTGACATTGACCCGGTTGCCAAACCTTTGATCTTGGTGTTATTTTTGACTCTTCCTCCTTCTCCAGTCCTCAGATCCAACTGGTGGAACCGCTTAAGTGCCTCAGAAATAGTTCTCTTTTCCATTGCCACAGCCTTTCTGCAGATTCTCATCTCTCTTCTGGAATTTTCTAAAGCTTTTTCCTATTTCTCTCTTCTCCAGTTCATCTCCATGTTAGATTAATTTTTTTAAACGTGTATGTACTTCATTATGTCTTTTTTTGCTTGAAGTCTCTCATTTGTTTTCTATTGCCATTAGGGTAAAGTGCAAACTCTACTTTTACGACCTAGCCCTTCCCTACTTCTTAAGTTACTGATACGTAGAAGAAATTAAAAATTAATTTCTTTTCAGAGTCCAAGTTGACATATCTAAAACTAAACTTTTCATCATCCTAGAAATTGCCATCTCCCTCACTTTTTTTAAAGATTTTATTTATTGATTTTTAGAGAGGGGGGAAGGGAGGGAGAAAGACAGAAACATTGATGTGCTTGAGATACATCAGTTGGTTGCCTCTCACATGCCCCCAACGGAGGACCTGGCTGGCCCACGACCCAGGCACGTGCCATTACTGGGAATCTCAAACCAGCGACCTTTCAGTTCACAGGGGGCATTCAATCCACGGAGCCAGCCAGCCAGGGTCCCACTTTCTCCCGTAGACTGTCACATGGTATCTTCTTAGTGATCCAGGTTGCCTTGGTGTTTTAATAAACTTTTTCCTTACTTCCCCATTGGTCCTCATCATCAGGTTCTGTTTATTTATTCCAATGTCTCATAATTGCCTCTTACTTCGCGTAGCTTCTGCTTCAGATCTTTTTGTCCTCATGCTGCAGTAGCCTCCTGGCTGCCTCTCCTGCCCCTCTCGTCTCACCCCACACCAATACGTGCTACGCATCAGTGGCAGGCTTTTTGTTTCTAGCGGGAGTCTTAGGTGAATGCTTCCCTCTTCTGAAGCCGTCACTGATTCTGCATCAGATACAGAATAAAGTCCCCATTCCCTAAATTGGCATTCAAGAGTCTCCCTTATCTGACCCCAACTTACCTTAACCGATTTCTCCTTATCTTTTTATATACGCTCTGAAACACATAGCCAGATTATTGAAAATTTAGGGTCACCTAAATAGACCCTGATTTTCTTCCTACCTCTTGACTGTTTTTCTTTCAGGGCCCAAATAAAGTCCCGCCTCCTTTTCAACCCTTCGCCTATTATCCCATCTCACTAAGATGGTTGACGTCTTATTCTAAATGCCCATGAACTCATACGGGAATCATTTTTTAACCTTTTATTTGTGTCCTTCATGTGTTGCTGTTTAACTGCTAGTGAAATGAGAATATACATAGCCAATATATACTTTTTTGAGACTCAGAGACAAAAATTTCTTTAGGAAGTTCTTTAGTGCTTACATGCGCTGAACACCCTCCTAGGCACGTGGAAATAGTTTATGCGGTGGTACCATGGTGGGTCTGATGGTGGGTCTGATATTCACAGACCCACCATGGGTCTGAAAAAGAATAAATATACATTTATTTTAAGCACCCCCAAAATTTTTGAAATGAGAAGTAGATTTCTACATTTTGAATTTAGTCTTTCACAGACTCTAAAAATTGCCAGGTGGCCTTAAATGAACTCCCAGTGTATTTTTTAATGCTATCATAAGGAATATTAGACAGGAAAGCTTTTTAGTAGTAGCTTTTCAACACAGCCATTATAGATGTTGCTATTTTTTTAGATATGGGCGGAACACACTTATTCAGTTTGAAGACTTTGGAAATCACAATGCCTTCAGGTTCTTGAGAAAATATCGGGAAAAATACTGTACCTTCAATGATGATATTCAAGGTAAAGCAAAAAGAGAACTTGAGAGTTTTTGACTTCTACTTTTTAAACCCTTTTTATGTGACCATTTCTTACTTTTTGAAATCTTTCTGTTTCTTGTAGGGACAGCTGCAGTAGCGCTATCTGGTCTTCTTGCAGCGCAAAAAGTTATTGGTAAATCAATTTCAGAACACAAAATCTTATTTCTTGGTGCGGGAGAGGTAAGTTTTTATAAGCTTTTTGAACTTAAAACCCCCATTCTTCTTTAGAATTGCAAAATGGGGCATAATGAGCTTCTAATTTTGTTGAGATAGGTGGGGAGATCTTATAATTCAAGACCTCTGCTGTAAAGTAGTTTAAAATATGCTTAGAGAATATCACAAAGAATCAACTTTTGTGTGATTTGTAAGGGAAGAATAAACCAAATATTTCTCAAATATTAACATGTAAAGTAAGTCAAGCATTGCAACATACTCTAGTCTTTACTTTTTAAATCTTTGATCCGTTGGACAGGCTGCTCTTGGAATTGCCAATCTTATCGTCATGGCTATGGTAGAAAGTGGCATCTCAGAAGAAGAGGCAAAAAAGAAAATTTGGATGGTTGACAAGTTCGGTTTATTATTTAAGGTAAGCTGTTTAAACCTTGGAGAGGAAAAGCACCGCGACTGGCGCGGCGGGATAGGTCAGGTCCCGAGGGAAGGCGCTGGGGGATTGAGAAATAAAGAGATGGTGTCAAAGCGGGGTCTGGTGGAGTGCCTTCTCTGGGGTGCAGAGGAGGGGACTGCTCACTGGTGAAGTCAGGCTGGACATATTGAGCCAGCTTTGAAGCAGAGCGTGAGAAAGACAAGCCGTGAGTCTAGGCACATGGTATTTTTTAAGAACATGTGCTGCTCCTCCTTGGCGGTGCTATAGCAGGCAGCCAAGGCGTTCTTTTCTTGCAACAGTCTGCCAGGCATCCCTCCGCGGCCTGGGGCAGTGGTGCCGGGCCCGAGGCCCGCGTCCCGCTCCCTTGTCACGCCTTGTCCTGCTTGGCCCTCCGCAGAAAAGAACGTTGTCATAACGACGTTTTCAGTTTGATTTTGAAAACATTATCAATTTTTTAAATGGTCTCTCAGTGGACTCTCCAGATTGTACTAGCTGGGGACCTTCCCATATATTCTTGACAGAAATCTTGCAGTCTCGAACTTCTGTCTTTCAGAAAGCCTCTTGCTTCACCTTCACATCATAATCTCTGTGCTGGCACCAAGCCTGTTCTTTCTTGCTTCCACCTTTGATTCTTCAGAGATCAAATAATCGTGCAGATGACATTGTCCTTGACCCTTCTAATATTGGGTTTTCAGTGGGAACTCAGAAGATTGTAATTCACCTGTTACCAGGACATCTGATATTTGAGCAAAAAATTGTTAACCCTTTGGCAATCATAATCCTCTTGGCAGTCATAATGCTCTTACGAATCTAACAGAAATCTGTGCACACTTTCCCCAGAAAAGGGCACGTAACCTTAAAGCCTTCATGGATAATGAAGAGCTTCTATCTCAGACTGATGTAGTGTCCTTTGGACACGCCTGCCTCCCTAGCACTGATTGCCTTTTTATTACCTTAAGAAATGCCTTACAGCAGCCCTGGCTGGTATAGTTCAGTGGATTGAGTGTGGGCTGCGAACCAAAGTGTCGCAGGTTTAATTCCCAGCCAGGGTACATGCCTGGATTGCAGGCCATAACCCCCAGCAACCGCACATAGATGTTTCTCTCTCTCTATCTTCTTCCCTTCCCTCTCTAAAAATAAATAAATAAAATCTTAAAAAACAAAAACCCAAAAACAATACTTTAAAAAAAAAAAAAAGAAATGCCTTACAGCTTCTCCTCTCACACAGAGAACATAGGTAAACTGCTTCATAACCGGACCCATCCCTGTCCACGGTGCTGTTGCATTTTTGCGTTAGGTGATAATACAGCAGTTGTCATTTACATCTCCGGAGCAAGCATATCTTCTATGGCAGTTACTTGTCATTTATATCTCTGGATCAAATGTACTTTGCTCCAGCTCTGAAATCTTTTCTTCCTAATTAGTAGCAATGTTAGCACAAAAGAGAAAATGAAAAAGTTAAAGTGTGTGAGTGAAAAATCTTGAGTTCTTCAATTATACATAATATAAAATAATAGTTATTTAAAACATACCAGACATTGTGCTAAAACTTTGCATTTGTCATTTCATCAAACTTCTCAAAAACCCTATGGAATTTTACAAAAGAGGAAACTGAGGTTGAAAAAGGTCAGTCAGGTGACTTTTCTAAGGTGATCAGCTTCTAAGTGACGGAGGTAGGATTGATTCCGAGGTACCCGTGAAGCCTGTGCTCTTCACGTTTCCGCCGAGTTCCCTCTTGGCGAGCTGTAACTGCTGTATTTGTATAGAAGGCGCAGGGACCGTGAGACCTACTTCAGAAGGCCATTGGGAGGGTGTGTATTTTTATTGGTACACAAGTAGTTTGGTGTTTCTTTTTGTGATGTTGGTTTTCACAAATGTTTTGTGATTCTTTACGATATTTGTAATCGGTCAGGTTACAATGAACATAGTATTGGTTAGCGCTAGTGAGAATCCCGTTTACCTGCAGATTTCAGAGTGAATTTTCCTTTTAGTCTGTAAGTAGCTTGGCCTATAGATTCTAGGCTTCCAGTCTCTCCTGGTGACCCGAAACACTGCCCTGCTTTTTGAGACCTTCCTGTTGAACCCCACTGTATTGGAGACTCCTGCAGACAAGCATGAGACGCTGTTGTTTTGAGAACCTCGATCTGGTGAGGCTGTATTTCAGTCCTGTAGTTACCTTCCCAGCCAGCCGATGGTGGCGTGCAGCTTTGCCCAGCCCCTGCTGGTTTTTATCTGGGGTTACTCTGCAGCTCTGATGGAAAAATTCGCCTTTGCAGGGGACAGCTTCTCTTTTGCCAAAATAAGAATATGGATTTCTCAGCCTGGTTAGTTTATGCATTTAATATGCTGAGAAATATTTCATTGTTCTAATTGGTCATCAGTACCTCTCTTGTACTAAGGATTTGTTTTTTATGGTTTTTGACTTGAGATTTGGGGAGGAAAGCATGTTTCTTCATTGAGCCATACTGAACCAGAATTCCCTGTTTCTCTTGTTGCTGAGCCCTTGGCAGTACACGCACAATTCAGAAATTCTAAAAGCTCTGAAATCCAAAAGTGTTTTCTGAAACTTACTCAGTAACAGATCTGACTGACCTCAGCTTCTCTGCTAACCAAACTGGAGAGTCTGTTTTCAGTCTAACCATGTGCACTTGGGGTGACTGTTCATGAGTTTGCTTCCGTTGTGGAGAACCCGTTGGGAACTATTTGTAATATGTGATCTATTACCATAATAATTTCTAAAATATGAAAAATTCTGAATTCCAAAACGCGTCAAGCCCAGTAAAGGGATTGTAGGACTTTCTGTCATACTGAATGTAGGAGGACTTCACAGCGTTTTTAGAGGGATTACGAAGTTTCTGGCCGTAAGAGGATTTGATTTATGTTTCATGTTTGGATTTACGGACACAATGGAAGTAGATTTGAAGGTATGGGGTGAAGAGAAAAGGAAAGGAAAATGCATTCCTATTGTAGAAGCAATATGTGACTCATAATAACGTCTTATCAGTTAATCCTCAACACGCATTTACCAAAAATACTGTATTTTATGTAAAAATTCAGGGGCGAAAAGCTAAAATAGAGAGTCATCAGGAACCATATGCTCACTCGGCCCCTGAGAACCTACCTGATACTTTTGAAGATGCAGTGAATGTACTTAAACCTTCAGCTATAATCGGTAAGTAAAGTTGCTGACCTTACTTAACTGTATGTTGCCAGTCATAACTTACAGACAGGGTTATTAAAAATGAAGTGATAGATTTTACCTAGCTTTTAGCATTTATGTTTTCTGCACTAGCTTTTCGATTATAGTGTGTAAAGAAAGTTCAGTTAATGCATGTTGTTGGTGTTTTTAAGTGCGAGAAGCTGTGGGATAGGTCGTGTTTTGCTTTTAGAGTTCGTATGACTGATGGGTCAAATCCTAAAGAGACCAAGCACATTTGACACACTGTACCCAGAGAATTCTATGCAGAGTCAAGGGTTTTCATTGGCAACAAAGCTGAAAGCTTTGAGTACGTTTTGAGTCAGGCATTGCATAGCTGACGTGAGACTCTGCCAACACGGCAGTAAGTTCACGGCGGAAAATGGGACAGTCTTTAAAAGGGGAGCTATTTCATTTCCAGTGTAGCTGTAAGGTTTGAATGCACAATTTTTCTTTTAATTTCATCTGTTTTATGTAGGAGCCCTATTGAATGCTAAATAGCAAAACAGTCACAAACCGTCAAGGAAAAGTATGTCAGTTTTTCCGTTGATTACAACTCATAATCTTTAGAGCAAGAAGAAATCTTAAAGGTTGTCCAGTCTGAGAACCTGTCCATTGACTCCATCCCTGGAGGGTCAAGGAAACAACAAGAAAGAATGTAATTGTGAACTCCTAAGAATGTGTCTATGAACCTCCACGTGGAGAAACACTGAGTATAGATTCCTTTTTTACACAAGAAAAGCAGGCATGGAGATACTGAGCAAACTGCTGAAGGTTTGTGACTATTTCAGAAAGCTAGGAGTGACAGCAAACATTAAAACTGGTCTCCAGCCAGATCAGTATTATTCTGTGTTACATGTAAAACAGAATTAAAGTGAATTATTTTGACTGTTGAATGTCAGGCTTCTCGCTGGATGAACTGGGTCAGAGCTTTGTGGAGGCGTCACTGAGTCATCCCCAGACTCCCACCGTGGGTTAAGTCTCCTTCCTGCACGCCATTGTGCTTCCTTTAACGCTGCACTCTAGGCGCGGTACCAGTTTTCTGATTGTTTACTTTGTTGTTTTCCTCTCAACGCTAAGCTGAAGCTGCCTGCGGTGTACTCATTCTTATGTCCTGATGGCCTGATACAATGTCTGAGGCATTGTAGGTGCTTAGGAAAGACAGCAAATTGAACTGTATCAAGAGAGTGGAGGAGTCCCAGGAGTCCCTGAAAAAAAAAAAAAAGAGAGAGTGGATTGCTTTAGTCAAGATGAATTCCTACTATTCAGTCCTTCTGAATTCCTATTATTTTGTAACGTGGACCACAGATTTTCACAATTTGAATTGCCAGTTTTTCATCATCTTTTTAAGACTTTTTCATTGTAAAATATGCTTAACTTAAAGTTGGCCATCTTACTGATTCCCGAATGTACGGTTCAGTGGTGCTCGGTGCGTGCACACTGTTGTACAGCCGTCTCCAGAACGCTTTTCATCTTGAAAAACCGAAACTCCGCACCCCCGGTAAACAGCAGCCACCTTACTCCAGCCCCTGCCCCCCGTTCCACTTTCTGTATCTATGAACTTGACTATTTTAGGTACTTCATGTAATTGGAATTATCCAGTGTGGGTCTTTCTGTGACTGGTTCATTTTACTTAGCATTATATCCTCAAGTTCATCCATGTTGTAGCAAGCTCTGTCTTAATTACACATAGTGATGGAGGTAGTCTCACACTTTTTCTCTCTCACAATTTACTATAGCTAGTGTGGACAATAAATATTTGAAGTGAGAACTCTGTATTTTATTGTGTTCCTTTTCATATCTTTATTATTTTGTATTGTTGTCCTATTACAGTTGTCCCAATTTTCCCCTGTTGCCCTCCTCGGCCCAGCCCAGCCCCCCGCCTCTCCACCCCACTGTCACGGTCAGTCCCCGCACTGCTGTCCATGTCCATGGGTCATTTATGCATGCTCTTTTACCAGGCCCTTCCCTTTCTTCCCACCATTACCTGCCTCCCCCTCTTCTCTGGCTGCTGTCAGTCTGTTCCATATCTCTGCTTCTGTTTTGCTCGTTAGTTTATTTTGTTGATTAGATTCCTCTTATAAGTGAGATCATATGGCATTTGTCTTTCACCAGCTAGCTTACACTTAGCATAATAGTCTCCAGTTCCATCCACGCTGTCGCAAAAGGTAGGAATTCTTTATTTCTCTCTGCTGTGTAGTACTCCATTGTGTGATTGTACTGGTTTTTTGATCCACTCATCTACTGATGGGCACTTAGGCTGTTTTCAGCACTTGGCTATCGTGAATAGTGCAGCTGCAAACATAGGGGTGCATGGGTTCTTTTGAACTGGTGTTTTGGGACTCTTAGCCTTTTCCCATTTGAGATCGTTTTTTCCGATAGCATTATCTCAAGCAATGCAAAATCTGTCTTTGTAATGGGAGTTAACCTGTGCTTTTGTTATGTTAAACCTATTGTAGAAATGTTGTTGGTAAGACTTGCTGTATTTTACTCCTAATGAACTTGGCTGGTTTTCCTCTTATTTATCACAGGAGTTGCAGGAGCTGGCCGACTGTTCACTCCTGGTGTAATCAAAGCCATGGCTGATATCAACGAAAGGCCTATAATATTTGCATTAAGTAACCCTACAGCAAAGGCTGAGTGCACGGCCGAAGAAGCGTATACCCTTACACAGGTACTTAATCAATGATAACAGAATGAATTGGTTGTGTCTGTTAGTTCCCTTTGTTAGCCTCTTAGTTACACATTCTTGCAAACTGTTCATGGTTACTCTGGAGATCACAGCATGTGTCTACGGACCATCAGATTCCGATGTTAATTATTGCTGACAACAATTTCAGAAAGTGATCGCCTCATTTCTTTTTTAGCACCTTCATCCCTTTTGTGATGTTGTTGTACATTGTAATTGTCCATTTTAAACAAAAATTATTTATTTGGATGTACCTGTATTTTTTTTTAAGATTTTTATTTATTTTTATTTTTAGGGAGAGAAGCGAGAGAGAGAGACAGAGAGAGAGAGAGAGAGAGAGAGAGAGAGAGAGAGAGAGAGAGACATCAATGTGCGGTTGCTGGGGGTTATGGCCTGCAACCCAGGAATGTACCCTGGCTGGGAATCGAACCTGCGACACTTTGGTTCCCAGCCCGCGCTCAATCCACTGAGCTACGCCAGCCAGGGCTTGGATGTACCTGTATTTTAATGTTTTCTGTTCCCATTTGCTTTCCCTGCACTTCCGTGTCTCGGTCTAGGATCACTGAGCGAAAAAACCTCCGAGCGGAGCTTTCCTTCGTATTTGTCTGATGAATTTTCTTGATAAGGTCTCTATTTTGCCTTATTTCAGTGCACATAAAAGTAAACGCTGGTAAATACTTTATTTCAGCACTTTGAAGATATTCCGTTGTTTTCTGACTTCTGCTCTTTTTGGATACATCATTTCATCTTGGGTTTAAGCAGTTTAGTACAATGGACCTAGGCGTGGTTGTCTTTGTGTGTATTCCACCTGAGGATGGAGAGCTTCTGGATCTGTGGACCGATGTCCTTTGGGGGAAAGTGTTCCTTTGGCAATCTCTCTGCTCCGGCCACATTCTCCCCCCTCTTGTGTCGCTCCATCCGATAATGTGAATGTTGGACTTTGCCTTACGCCATACATCTCTCACCCTGTTTTCTCTGTGTCCCACCCTGCTTGCTCATACATCTCAGTCTGGCGATCTTCTTTGTACTTACCTCCCAGTTTGCATTTTCTCTTTTTAGCTGTGCTAATCTGTGGTTAGGTTCTTAATTTTATTGTATTTTTTCATTTGCAGAATTAGCATTTCACTATTTTTATAGTAATTTGTTTAATGACAGGCTTAAAATTGCATATTAGAGAAATAATCAATTTACAAATACTGCTTTCTTGCCCACACATTTCATGATATAATTCTTCTTATCCTCTTATTTCTTCATTAGTGTTTGTCTTTATGACAGCCTTTTTCTTTCTTTCTTTTTTTTTAATCATCTAACAGCTGTCTGGAACAAATTTTTAATTTCATCCAAGTTGTTTAAGATTTAGTTCTTTTCAATTCTTTGGCACATCTGCTCGTTGGGTTCTATCCCAGTTATAAGTATCTGCTTATGGACCATTAGGACAGTTGGCTTTTTTCCTACTATTCTGTAGAATATGTTTGTCATCTCTACCATGTAATCACTTTCTGTATTTTTCTTGTTGGTGATCTGTTTTTTAAAGACTTTATTTATTTATTTTTAGAGAGAGGGGAAGGGAAGGAGACAGAGAGGGAGAGAAACATCAGTGTGTGGTTGCCTCTCACGCCCCCTACTGGGAACCTGGCCTACAACCCAGGCATGTGCCCTGACTAGGAATTGAACCAGTGACACTTTGGTTTGCAGGCCCATGCTCAAGCCACTGAGCTACACCAGCCAGGGCTGTTGGTGATCTTTAAGTGGCTCTAGGAAGTGATTTTTAAAGGCTTGTTTACAATGGTATCCTGTAGTCATCATTGTTACCTAATGCCCCTGGGAATAATTAATAAATTGTTATAAATGTTTTTGTCTCCGCCCTATTAAAAAAATTTTTATAGAAAATTTCAAAGGCATATAGAAGTAGAGAGAATAGTATAATTAACTCATACCAACACCTAGCTTCAAAAGTAATCAAATATTCAACAATTTTGTTTCTTATACATTGTACCCACTCCAAATTATTTTGAAGCAGATCACGGACATCATATAACTTCATTATAAATATTATATCTCTCAAAAGTTAAGGATTTTTAAAAAAACATAACCACAGTATCATTATCATACCTTACAATTTTAACAGTAATCTTTTAAAACTTATATGGTCCTTTTGTTTGACTTACAGTTCCATGCTAAAATTTTCTATCTTGCCATTTAATTTCTTAAATATATGAATCATAATTAAAGTTAAAGCCTGGTAGTAATAAATATCTAATTCTCCGTCAGTTCATTTGTATCATCATTCTTTTTTTCTCTTAGTTACCCAGTTCTCTTTTTGTAAGCCTAGTTTTATTTTTATTTTTTGTTTATTGAGTTCTAGATGAAGAATTGTTGCAATAATTGAGTCTCTGAATGAAATTATCTTCCTTCAGAGGGACTCTAACTTTTCCTCTGGGGGCTGTAAGTCAGGGACAGCTCCTCCCAATCCCATCGGACGGACGGACGGACGGACGGACGGACAGACAGACACAGTCCTGGAGGCCTAGTCTGTTTTCACAGTTTACCCTTTCTCCCAATGCGCACCCCTGTGGGGAGGAGCCAAAAGCCTTTAGTATTTATCGGCACCCCTCATCCCCAGCCATCCCTGACCTTTACTTTTTCTCTCTCTGACCTCGTGAGACTCCTGATAGCTTTGTTGCTTTGTCACCTAGACTCTCAGCCACAGGTTTTGTTTTCAAAATCAGTAGTCACCTTGAAGGGGAAGGCTTCAGATGCTGTGCTTTCCCATCTTGCTTTTAACTTCTTTTGGATCTTAAATGTTTCCCACCTCCAGACTCTCACTATCTTGGTAGCACTCCCACTTCCTTGAAAAATACTTTTAATACTTTTTTTTTCAGTTTTTCTCATTGTTACCAGAGGGAGAGTTGGTGTGAAACAACCTAGAAGAACTTGCCAAAGTGGAACTCGCCCTCAGAACTTGCTGAACTTAATATTCATGCACCTGATAATCGGCATTCTCTTTTTCTCCCTGTTAAACATTTTATTTTGACACCTCTTCTCCCAAAATTTCTTTGCTTCTCTATCGCCACCCTGTGTTAGTCAAAATGAAATCTCTTAAATATTCGTTTCCAACAGTTATAATCAGTATTGAAATCTTTTCTTTTGAAATCTTCCTCAAAGTCAGCATATAGATATTAAAATAAAAGTCAGTCTCTTTAGTATAGTCTTACCTTTTACCAAAGCATGGTATTACTTTGAACTTGATGGCTCATCCTGTTCACTGGTCTTTACTACTTAAGACTACTGGTTACTGCTCCCGCACCCCACCCCCCAATTACATCTTGGTCTTATACAGTGACTATTGGATAAATACACTCAACGTAGCACGACTCTGGCATTTCCAAAACACAAAAACTTTAAATGTTTTGAGCAGTAGTAGTAAGTCACTAGAAGATTGTTCAGCCATTTAAGAATTTTATTTTTTGAAAGAATAAATATTGTTTTACTAGATACACATTATTGGAATGAATGAAAACTCCCCAAGGAGACGAGTACTGTTTCATGTACTGCTTTGAAAGAACACTTTTTTCACAGCTTTTATAACTTTGAAATTGTGTTATCTCTTAAAAATTATAAAAAGCATTTCATTGGAGGAGGGAGTATAAGGGGACTAAATGGTAATGGGGAAAAATACAATAAAGATTAAATTTTTGAAAAAACATTTCATCATAGCTTAGTTTTATGTAATTTCTGTCTTAGTGTTACATAAAATAATGACACGTATTTGAGCATTGGCAGTGCCCTCTTACGTTTTTAGCCTCCTCTTGTTCTCAGTGGGGAGACGTCATGGTGTCACTCCGACACTCCCGCTGCTCTGTGAGAGCCGCGGCGGCCAGAGGACAGACAGGCCAGCTCGGCCCTCGGATTGGGAATGCTGTTTTCATTCAGATCTGGCCACATCTAAGCAATAGGTGCATTATGACAAAAACAAAACAAAACAAAAATCAACAGCTTGGAGAAAATGAACTGCTGTAGAATATTGACATTCTAGAGAACATCCCCAAAATCTTTCTAAATCTCCCAATTTACTGGTATCATGGGGACATACCACTTTTCCCATGAAGTACTATATTGAATAATTCACTTTATGAAGCTATTAAAATTAATGGTACCACCATAATCTTTATTATTATATACATTATTATTGTTGTGGTAACATGTATGGCATTAACCACGAACTAATGTTAATGTTCAAAGAAACAAAATTTTTGTCACAAGTAGAGCTATGCCTAGAGAAGTTGTAAGCCCTGGCTAGGTAGCTCAGTTGGTTGGAGCATTGTCCTATAGACCAAAAGGTTGCAGGTTCGATTCCTGGTCAAGGCACATGCCTAGGTTGCCTGTTCGATCTTTGGTTGGGGCGTGTACAAGAAGGCTACCGGTTGATGTTTTTCTCTCACATCAGTGTCTTCCTCTCTCCCTCTCTCTCCCTCTCTCTCCTTCTCTCTCCCTCTCTCTCTTTCTCTCTCCTCTCTCTAAAAACAAACACACAAAAAGAAAGTCTTAAGGTGAGGATTAAAAAAAGAGAGAATGATAAGAATTGTCTGTAGAAAACAATATAGTTGCTGCTCCAAACTAGTCCCCCAAGCCCACCACTAAGCATGTAGCTAACTTGCCTCAACACCTAAATCTTGTATCATTTTGAAATTGAAAGCATGTCCTGTAAAAGTTGTAATTACCGTACATTGTGGACCTTCAGGTCATCCCACGGGCCAAATTCTTGAGTGTTAAATGCACGAATGCCAGGGCCTGCTATATCAAGTGGTGATACTGAGGCATTACACTTTTGGTATAATTTGTATTTTAGATTGCTAGACAATTCTGTTGAACATTCAAGTTTCCATGGCAGTTTGTCCATCCTTCCATGTGGACATAGTTCAGGTGATTTTTTTGTAAATCATCTCTTAACTTAATCCAAGAAGCTGTTTAAACATGATGTCTATATGTTACATATTATTGTAAGGGGGTACCCTGTTAGAGAACTGTTGTTTTCTTCTTCACCTTTATGTTACTTTTTGCCAGGGAAAGGCAGGGGTGATGGAGTTCACTGGGGGGAAATTATATAAAGGAGTTTGTTTTATAAAATAGTGTTCAGATACTTTTCACAGGCATAGACTTCTCTGCAAACTACAGAGTGCCAGTGACATTTATTATATGCCATTATAGAACACACTACCTAAATCAATGATTACAACACATTTGGAGACGTTTTTGTTTTAACAAGGCAGCATGCCTTTTTTTCTTGGATTGATAGTATGGTTGTATCAATGCCTCTTGTCTAAACTGGCTTACTTTGGGAGCATTGTGGCATAACAGAGAAAGACCGTGACTTTGAAGTTCTAAATCTCTAGATTCCAGTTTGACTGCTACAGCTGTAATGTGTGACTTTTTACAGAGTACTTGGAAGTGGCTAAGCCTTAGTTTTCTGATTTTATTTTATCAGTGAAATCAAGGTAGCGATGGTCTCCTGAGGTTTTATGCAGGCTCACTGAACCGAGTTAACACTCAGAGGGCCCCTGGTACCAAGCCAAAGACAGCAGATGTCCAGTGAACAGTAGCAGTTTAAAGTTGGATGCTTTCCACTTCATTCAGAGATACTTACACACGGGCCGTGTACATTTTAAAGTTGTTTTAAAGGAAATGGAAGTAAAGGGCTTTTCAACAATTATCAATGGACATTTTTTTCAACTTGCATAAAATATACTTCATTCTAATAAGGATTTTTATGATGTGATTGTGTTATATAATAAATTGTTCCTGTTTGCAAACGACATGTTGCTCTACTTTACCACAGGATTTATTCTTGTTTAAGTTAACCCCCATGTTTTAGAACATGCAGAGTAACAAAATCGAGGTGACATTATTTCTTAACAGGGAAGGTGTCTGTTTGCCAGCGGCAGCCCGTTTGGGCCGGTGCAGCTGAGTGATGGGCAGCTCTTCACGCCAGGTCAAGGAAACAACGTGTATATTTTTCCAGGTAAATGTCACTGTTATGTATGTTGCAGAGTAGTAATTGATGACACATAAGTACTTCGTGAAATTCTTTAGAACCTAAGGTTAGAATGGACCAGAGTATTCATAGGATTCTGGTATGACCACTGTACAGGGAAGCCCAAGGAACTCAGCAAACCCATCTTGCTCTGCTTCCCCTGAAAATTTATTCATATTGTTTGTTAAACTTGTTCTTATTATAGAAATAATGTAGTACATGGCTCATAAAAATGCAGAAGAAACAGAATGGCATAAAATGCTGGAACCCTCCTTATTTCCCCTTGGTACCACCTTACCTCCGCTCTCAGCTGTAACCACTGCTGGTGAGGAAACACAAGTAACAGTACACACAGATGTTCTCATACTTGGCTTCCTCTCTCTACCACTAATTTGTATCATCACAGCTTTCAGTTTTCCTAGTAGCTACCTTTATCTTTATGGACCATAGTCAAAGAGGTTTTGTGAACAACTTTAGCTTGCCACAGTGGAAATGCAAAAAACCTGTGTTTCGCATTTCATCCCTCACTTTTGGTTAGTTAGTGCTGCTCATGGTAGAGAGCTTTTTAGACTTGTGTGTTGTGTGACGCTGTCTTCCATGTTCGTCTGTGGATTGGCTCTGAAATTCAATGATTATGTAAATTTTATTCACATCTAAACCAGAGTGTAATTTGATAAATATTATAGAGTATGGGATTCTCTATCACAAAATTTTAATACTTAATCTTTCAAGGGTCAGATATGGTGGATTCTTTCATTTCTTCCCAGTTTGCTTCCTTTTTACTGGGTGCTACTCCGCGACAAAGTATTCCCGGGTCCCACGCTTCCTCGTTCTCTGTTTTGTACGTGTGCACTGTTCTCTCTGTCTTGATGCTATTTCTCTCCGAATTAGTCTCCTTTTGGGTTTTTTTTTTCTGGGATGCATCTTTATATAAAAGTTTTTTTATAAAAGCATGGAAAAAATTTTGTGAGTTTTCACTTCTCTGAAAATATCTTTATTTTGTCCTGTTCGTTGGGTAGAGAGAGAGATGTAGCTTCACAGTCATTTTCTGCAGACTTTTAAAAGCATTTCCTCCTTCCACCTTTAGTGGCCAGTATTGCTAATGAGAAATCTGGTATCAGTGAGATTCTCATTCTTTTATACGTACCAGCTTTATCTCCCTGTAATGTTGAAAACTTCTGTCTCTCTTTAAATTTCTGAAAGGTTCATGGGGATGCATTCCGGTTTGGGCTTCTTGCCAGTTATCGTGCGTGTCTGTGGGCGGGCCAGTTTACGCTGTCTTCTCCTCCAAAGGATTCTTTCAAACTTTTATCCCCCCTCATTTCTTCCATTGTTTCTGTGTTTTCCATGTGGAACATGTGTTAGACTGGGGTCCCATCCCTCCATTGTCCTCGACTTGTAAATTTCATTTCACGCCTTCCCCTCTGCCTGTTTTATCACTTAATACGGGGGATTTCTGTAGTATTCATTTACTCATCTGTATCTGTTCAGTTTTCTAGCACCTCTAGGTGTGTTTTGTTTCAGTTTTTTTCCTTTTATTATGGAAAATATTAATCATATACAAAATCAGAGGGAGGGATGAAGTCCCATGTTCTCATGTCCCACTTTTTAGCAGTTTTCAACAGGTAGCCTGTCATATCTCCCATACTTGACCTTCACTGGGTTGTTTTAAAGCAGGTCAGAGACATCACATAATTTCATTCAAACCTACTTCAGTATGTAGCTTTATAAAAGTAATTTTTATTAAACATAACCATATTAGTGGTTTCATATCAAAGGAAATTAATAAGAATTGCTTAATATCATGTCCTCAATTCAGTCCAGCAATTTTTTAAATTCCCAACACCCTTTTCATCCTAGAATCACTCTTTTTAATAAAAGCTTTTATCTTTTTAAAAAGTTGCAGTATTCTTTCAAATGTCTAAGAGTTAAGATTCTTTGCAGTATTTCTTCCTTCGTGGTGTTTATTTTCCATAAATTTCTGGTGATTCTTAGTTGCTTGTTTTAGTGAAAGACTCTGTTGAGTAAAGCAGGGATGACACAAGTTCCCCCTGTGCTTACGTCTTCCTCCTCGCTGGCCTCTCCTGGAGTAGCTGCCAGCAGGCTCTCGTTCAGGTTCTAGGACAGATAGACTCACTGCGTGTGTAGCTGTCACCGGGTAAGCGTGCTGTAATCGCAGTTCAAAAAGATTCTTGCCTGCGAATATCTGAGTGCTTTTGTATGTCAGCTTTTCTCCTTCCTTCCATGCAGTTGTGGTTGTGTAGAGTTCTACCCTGCTGGTCTCCTGAGACCTATCATCTGTGATAGAAACTGTTCCATCACTGACAGTCTCTTTCTAGAACTTGATAGTGTTCAAATTGATCTGTTCTATCCAACAACCTTTCTTTGGCACAAAGGCATAAGGGCATGGAAAAAATACTTTGCCGATTTAACACAGCCATTTTTTATAGCATATTTGACTAATAAGGAAATTGGCAGTTGATAACTTTTATACAACACTTCTGTTTTTTCTTGGCTGCTTTGCATTTTAGCGGGGTAGTGTTTGGGGTAAGGGGGAGTTACCGGTGACTTGCTTTCAGTCTGGGAATTTATTCCGCTCCTTTCACAATTTGAAAAGTTAACTTGCTAAATAAACTGTTTAAAATGTATTCTAGGTGTGGCTTTAGCTGTTATTCTCTGCAACACCCGGCATATTAGTGACCATGTTTTCCTAGAAGCTGCAAAGGTAAATGTTTTAAATATTGTTTGGTTATTTTATAAAAGATGAATTATAAAGATTAAAAGCAGAAAGAAAAAGAGAATGGGTTAAATCTGCCTTATGAATGGAAAGGAAGTGACTCATCCATTGCTTTTTTGATTTGCCCGTCTACTTTTGCATAAAATTTTTTATCATGGTTTTTCAAATGTTTGATGGTAACCTATGAATCCTTTCATGTTTGCAACACATCTACTGTACCTATATTACATGTATGGGACGGCAACATTGTGACAGCATAGGTAAAGTACAACTCCTTGTGAGCTCTTAATGACAATTACTGATTTATTTGAGTAATTGGAGCTCCAAACTTGGCAACACAAGTTTTGAATAACTCACTTTAATACAAATGTTGATGTCCATTATCATGGGAACTGTTATAATTATGCCAAACTCTGTAAGTTAAGTCAAATGTCAGGACGTCATTAAATGTGGTTATTTTTTCATTGTCTGGTGGTGAGAACAGTATTAATTTCTGCAGTGGTATAAGTGCATTCCTGCTAGAAGGAGGAGAATTATATTACCTGTATTGTTCTCTGCTCCCCCAGCCCTTTTCCGTTTCATAACGTCTTCATTATCCTGTGTTACATGAACAAACGGAAGTGCTGTGTTTCTCTTTAGGCACTGACGAATCAACTGACGGATGAAGAGCTGGCTCAAGGGAGACTTTACCCACCTCTTGCTAATATTCAGAAAGTTTCTATTAACATTGCTATTAAAGTAAGTAATAGCTTATACCTCTTCATGTACGTTCTCATGGCGTTTTCTGATGTAACACAAGCTTATTAGAGAAAAATTTGAAACACTAAGGTTGCAAAGAAGAAATTTTAGGCCACCCATATTCTACCAAAATATAGCCCCATCATTATTTTGGGCTTGTTGCCTTCTAGTCTTTTTCCTTCATAAACACATACAGTGAGTGCACACGGGCCCATCACCTGTACTTGTTTTTGTAACTGGTTTCTCACTGCACTTTTTTCCACTTACTGTGTTGTAAGCCTTTTCCCACATAAATCAATAGTAATTCTCATGTGTGATCATGAATGCTGCTTGTAATTCTCATTACATCATAATTAGTTTAACCATTTCTGTTTGGACATTTAGGTGTTTTTCATTTTGGTAGAAATGATTTATCGTAGTGGACATCCATACATAAGACTTCATGTGCATTTGTGATTGTTTTTCCTTAAGATAAATTGCTAATCATAAGGACAACAGTTATTAACATGCTAAGACTGCTGATATATATTGCCAAATATTTCTCTGGAAAAAAGTATTGACTTACATTGTACCTGTTTGATATGAGTGTATTTGTTTTCCCCACACTTTGCCAATACTTAAGAATTATTATTTTTAAAATATTGTATTTTTTAAAAGATTGTGTTTATTTTTAGAGAGAGGGGAAAGGAGGGAGAAAGAGAGGGAGAGAAACATGGACATGCAAGAGAAACATAGATTGATTGCCTCTCACACACCCCCACCTGGGGACCTGGCCTGCAACCCAGGCATACGTCTTGGCTGGGAATTGAACTGGCGACCCTTTGGTTCACAGACTCGTGCTCAGTCCACTGAGCCACACCAGCCAGGGAAAATCTTATGTATTTAATAGGCGAAAAATGAATCTGATTTTTATTTAAAATACTCATTTTATTATAACATTGGAGATATTTTGTGTTTATTGAACAATTATATTTCTTCCATGAATAGCCTATTCATGACCTTTGCTTGTTTTTATATGTCTTTCTACTTTCTTTTATTATTATTTTTTATTCTTACCCAAAAACATTTGTTTCCATTGCTTTTTGATGAGAGAGAGAGAGAGAGAGAGATGGCAATGTGAGAAACACTGATTGGTTGCCTTCTTGTATGTGTCCCAACTGGGGATCAAACTCACAACCGGAGTATGTGTCCTGACCAGGAATCGAACTCATGACCTTTTGGTCTACAGGACAGTGCTCCAACCAACTGAGCCACAGTAGCTAGGGCTGCCTTTCTACTTTCTAATACTGATTTATAAGAGCTCTTTATTAAGAGAAATGATTCTTCTGTTTGCCATGGTGGAAGTATTGCCCTGTTTGTCAATTACTTTAACTCTTGGAATTGTTTGATGTGGCATTTTTTTCAAATATTCTTTCATGAAATTGTCTGTCAATTTTATGGGTTGTTTCTCACCTTTTATGAATGTTAATGCCTTCTCCCACTCCAAAATTATATAAATATCTACCTGCATCTTCTCATAACATACAACTTTTTAAGCCCTCTGAGATTTACTTTAGAGTATGATGTGAGACAGAGAAACTTCCTGAGTACTTAACCAGTTGCCTCACCACCGGTTGATTGAGAATACATTCCTTTTATGCGTATGAGCATAACGTCTTTGAATCTGTTACTGGGAGTCTGTTCTTGACTGTGTTTGTCTATCATTAGGTACTGTTTGAATTATTATGGTAATATGTATAAAGTGTATTATTTGATACTATGTGTTTTCCATCATTACGGTTTTTCAGTTTTTTCAATTAGAAAGTCCTGCAATTATGTATAAAAGTAGGTCGTATGAATCAAATAGGTGAAATCGAGTCTTTCAGTATTGACTCTCTCCCACTCAGTACCTCTCTCTACTTAGTGTTTTTGTGGGTTTAAGTCTTTCAGTATAATTCTGCTGTTTTCTTCATCTAAATGCAGCATGTCTCATTACTTATTTTCCTAGATATGTAAAACTTCTTTGTTATTTCTTTGTTATTCTTGGCCCTGGCCGGTTTGGCTCAGTGGATTGAATGCTAGCCTGAGAACCAAAGGGTTGCTGGTTTGATTCCCAGTCAGGGTACATGCCTGGTTATGGACTAGGTCCCCAGTTTGGGGGCGCTCAAGAGGCAACCATACATTGATATTTCTCTCCCTCTCTTTCTCCTTCCCTTCCCCTCTCTCTAAAAAATAAATAAATAAATAAAGTCTCTTAAAAAATAAAATTTGGGGTTATCATATATATTCATGACCTCACTGGTCATTTCTGATATATAGGGAAGGTATTAATTTTTATAAACTTACCTGATAACTAGTTTCTTTGTTGAACAATCTCAACTCTTTTAATGGTTTCTCAGTTATTTTTTGGAATTGTTGAGTTTTGAACTATCTGCAAATAATTTCTTGTTTAAAAAAAATACATATAACTTGCCCTGGCCGAGTAGCTCAGTTGGTTGGAGCATCATCCCGATACACCAGGGATGCAAGTTCAGTCGCCGGTCAGGCCACACATAAGAATCAACCAATGAATGCATCAGTAAGTGGAATAACAGATTGATGTTTCTTTCTCTCTCTTAAAAATAAAATCAGTTTAAAAATATGTATAGCTCTTTTCTTCCCCTGTCTTGCTAAATTAGTTAATACTTGAGCAGTTTTAAGCAATTGGGTTGATATGGGTATTCCTTAATATCATATGTGATGCTAGTTCTCATTGAATAAATATTTTTTAAATACTTTACATGTTTATTTTTAGAGAGAGGGGAAAGGAGAGAGGAGAGTGAGAGAAACATTGGTGTACAAGAGAAACTTCAGTTGGTTACCTCTTGTATGCCCCCAACTGGGGAGCTGGCTCACACCTCAGGCATAAGCCCTGACTGGGAATTGAACCGGCAACCTTTCAGTCTGCAGGCTGGCACACTGAGCCACACCAGCCAGGGCAATAAACATTTTTTAATCTTTTTAAAGAAGTAAGCTTTTATCTCTAGTTTACTAAGATTTTCTTAAACATTAGGATTAGATAAATTCATCAACTGCATTTTCAGCTTTTACACCGATGACCATAAGATTTTACCCCTTTGACTCTTAATTTGATACTTATAAACTAAGCAAAGACTGGGATGGAGTAAAGGATGATATATTTAGGAAATAGTAACCAAACCAGTCGAATTGGAGTCTTACAGTATAGGTAGGAAAATGGCCTCAGATAAGATCTGAATGTTATCTTAAACTTGTGTAAACACCCAAATGCCAGACTTCAGAGTCTGACTGAATACCTTACTGTTGCAAAACAACCGAAGATTTTAGAGCCCAGATCTAGCATGAGTGGAGTTCAACTTTAGGACTTAAGAGCGATATTACAGGCATGACAGAGTTTAGAAGATACCAGTCCATTCAGAGGTTTGCTGGTGTGTCCAGATGAAAGGTACTGCATGAGGAAGGAGATGGGTGTTCGGGGCTGGGATAGGCGCAGAGCCCCAGGATCACGTCTGTTCCCCTGTCCCAGGGTAGAGAGTCCTTCTCCATTGGTTCAAGGCTTTCCTTCCTAAGAGCCAGGAATCAGGAGAGTAAGCAGTGCTTTGTATCCGCGCCCCCAACCCCAACCCACAGCCACTGGGCATTTTCTGAGAGCTGCCAGTCACCTCCTGCTCGCCCGCATCACCAAGGAGAGCTCTGAGCCCGTGCCTGCCTCCAGTCTTTCTGGTGGATGCAAGTATGTTCCCAGCAGTAGTCTAGAAAATAACTGAACCATTTCCCATCACAAAATTCAGTGACCCTGAGCTCCTGGGACCAAGGGTTATTTTTAATAACCACCATTTTTTGGTTAAGTTTTTCTTTTAGGAAGCTGAAATAAACTTTAATAGTGGTCACCATTTGGAATGGGAATTGGAGGAGGAGGAGGAGGAGGAGGAGAAAGACATGCTTGTTTGGATGTCTCTACAATGTGTGGCTACACCTTTAAAGTTAAAATAAAGTCATAACGGGGGCGTACTGGATGACAGACAAGCGCCGTGCTACCCTGTGAGGAGCCTGTTCCTTCCACCTCATCTTACGCTAAAACGGAGGCTCAGTGGGTTTGCGCTCACCAGCTGCCGTGGTCTGCAGCTTGGTCGCAAAGATCAGAAATTCATTTACGTGGGAAATGGCCTAGCTTAACTGCTTAGAGTCCAGGATCTAAATTCAGAATGTTTTGGGTTGAAAACACAGCCCACGTAACTATAATACCTTTGGCAAGTTGCTTAAACTCCTTATACTTTGGTGCCCTCATGTACAGTGGAAGAATAATAATAGCACTTACGTCGCTGGGTTCCTGTGAAGCACACGGAACGTGCCCGGCGCTCAGGGATGGTGGGGAGCTGCCGTGCGTGGGTGTCAGGCCTGCCTTTCTGCGACCCTGTAGTTCTAGTGTCCAGACTTGATCTACGATAGTTTCTATGTCTCTTTCTCCTAATTCGAGAGCAAAAACATCAGGCGCACTTGGGTTAGGTTTTCACTCCATTCCAGTGAGCTGCAATTAAGTAGACTCCTACACACGGTTTCAGCAGGACCCTGGGGAGAAGGGACATGGGCGGGACACGTCATCCAAGTGGGTGCACTTGACCGACACAGTGTAGCTTAACAGTGTTGTTGGATTGGACTGTTAAGGCAGTGCCAGTAATTCAGGGTGAGGAGGTGACTTTAAACACGTCAAACTTACAGTAAGATAGCAGATGACCTTTACTTCATCTTTTAAAAACTTTTGATCGTCTCCACATGGTTTGAAATGAGTCAGAGTAATGTCATGTTTTATTGTGAAAAAAGAAAAATGCCGTTCTTTTAAGTTCATTTATCTGTGTTTTAATAGTCCTTTTTCTCTCAAATAGGTTAATGCTCAGAGTCCACCCAGTAATCTTATTTCCTTTTCAGGTTACAGAATACCTGTATGCTAACAAAATGGCCTTCCGATACCCAGAACCCGAGGACAAGGCCAAGTACGTTAGAGAGAGAATATGGCGAAGTGAATACGACTCCATGCTGCCCGACGTGTACGAATGGCCGTCCTCGGCAAGCCCTCCCCCACTAGCCGAATAGAAGCGGCCACCCATAAATACTGTCCAGGCTTCAGGAAACCCCTTTTTTCAGACAAAAATATAATGTTCTCAAATGTGTGGGGTTTTTTCTGTGTTTTATTCTCCCCCACTGCTTTGTTTGACTTGTTTTTCCCCCATGAATCTTCTGTAGGGGGCGGATGTGTTGAGCACATTGTTAGCGCCCACCAGCACCCTGCTGTCAGATAGTCACAATGCTTGCATTCCGATTTGTAGCTCGTACCACGTGAAAGGGATGTTACAAATGTATTTGCAGATGTCTTCACCTGTGCTCTTGTTCACACTTGCCAAAACGTTCGCTCTTTACTGTTGTCGGCAATAACCTCTCACCCCATCCTTCTAGGGCTACCAAAGTACGAACTTCTGTGGAGAAGAGCAGAGAACTTTGAGAAAAAGCCAAATCTAACCAAATTCTAAGGACAAATTGTCTATCGAAAATGTTCTTTTGTTTGTTCTTCATGCCCTGAAATTCCTTTCTGGTGTAAAGATCCAGAGAAATAATGAAAAATCTACCCTATTATTTATTTGTTAGACTGAATTAAGGCTTAACTACGGCATTGTGAGAGAGAAATGGGAACTCCTGCTGCCTTTAGATGAATTAAATAATATCATTTCGACAGTGTATAAAAATCAGTGTAACTTTTTTATTTAATAAAGGTAATAACTTAAATTTAATTGCTTTGGTTATACTTTTTATTGCCCAAGTAGAAATTTAGCTTTGTTTATTAGGAGAAACACATATTTTTATCTTCTTATTTTCTAGATGATTCTGAGGAGGGGGTATAGGATGCCTAATGCATAACTTATGACTGATGTCATATGACTTTTAAGACGTTAGCGATTGTTTCACATCTGAGTCATAGTTAAGTGAAGAGGTCGTACCCTGATTCCAATGGTGATGCTCCAATACTTGAGATCATTTGGGGATAGTCCTACAGGACATTCCTTTGAGTATCATTAGTGACAATTCTTTCTCCATTAAAGACAGATTTAATTTTTTGAAACCACCCAAATTAATTTAGAGCTAAATGGGGATGAATAACATATTCAGATCTTTTTTGTTAGTCCATTTTCGTGCCATTTTTCATCCCAGTAAAATGGGTGGTAACTGGTTAGTGAAACCAGTTTTTTATGTGGCTTCCATATGGAGAGTTCTAAAGGAAGATCCAAAATCATTTTGAGAAGTAGTACTATCTCTCTATATATGCCTAACTTAGTTGCTTTGAGGGAATAACATTTTTAAATGCTAACTGCAAAAAAATTATTCACAGCTACATATCAGCATGCACATTACCTGACATTTCTCTCCACAGTCCTTGATATGTTAGATAGAATATTCTGTAGGGAAAATAGTGGGGCTCTGTTTTTAGTTTCATCTTTTCTTCTACCTATAGGCAGAAAATAAGTCACAATATTTTTTAGTATAATTCAGCCTTTTAAGAATGCTCAAAATGGTCCTGGCTGGTGTGGCTCAGTGGATTAAGTGCCAGCCTATGAACCGAAAGGTTGCTGGTTCGATTCCCAGTCAGGGCAAATGCCTGGGTTGTGGGTCAGGTCCCCAGTACGAACCTGTGAGAGGCAAACAATTGATGTATCTCTTGCACGTGGATGTTTCTCTCCCTCTCTTTCTCCCTCCCTTCCCCACTCTCTCAAAATAAATAAGTACAATCTTTTTAAAAAAATGCTCAAAATGGCATTGCCATTCAGAGTGTGGGAAAACGCTATTGGTTAATTCATTTAACAGATGAGTAAAGTCAGAAGTCTGTTACATAAATCTATTTCATAAAGTAAGCAGCTAGGTCACAATTTGTTTCTTTTAATTAAATATGAAAGGTTTATGTGTTTCATATTGCCTTTGTCAAAACACAATTACTCCCAAAAATATTCTCTGAAATCTTGATTTTAGTTTAACGTTACAAGTAATAATAGTATGATAACTACAAACCTGATTTTGGCTTGATGCTTATTGATGGTTGGGACATATGCTGAATTTTACTTCATAATTTTACAAGATGTTTGCTTATTAACGTGTCTAGTACGGTTCTCATGGAAATCATAAATATTTCAAGGAAAAAAACAAGGTCAAATACCATATAGCTTATTTGAATAAGAGAAAGATTATATGCATATATATTAAAAGCTACTTACTCTCATTCTGTCTTATTTACCAACCAGTATTTTAACAAGTAACAATGAATGTAGGTAAGTGAAAGGAAAATAATATTAAAGCTAAGAATACAGGAAGGAATTAGTATGGTGGTAGACGGTGGGCGGGGGGGGGGGCCGGGGAGGGGGGATAATGCACCAAATTGGAAAAGAAATGGACACATTTGAATTTCTATGGAAATGTTTACCTAGCAAGGTAATTTATTTTGAAAAGCAGGAATGGAGAGTCATTTTAATTCTTTTGAACAAAGAAATGTTGCAGATTAGTCTGTCAGAAATCATTTCTTAGGGAAAAGTGAGACTACCTGTTTTTCTAACCTGGTACAAACACCTGTGGTGTAAGACAAGTTGGATAAATAATGATTTTATTTATTTTGGTATATTGACAATAAGGGGAAAAGTGTTGAAGATTTTGGCTAAAGCCTTTCTGAAGAATGGATTTTTACCAGAAGTTTGCCTCAAAATCACCACGAACCTCCTTTAAAATGCGGAGGCCTCTGCCCCCTTCATCCAGGCCCCCTGGACCGCCTGCGGCAGAGCGCTAGCAGGAGTCTTCTCAGCACCCACTTCCCCGACTCTCCCAAACGCTGCTTTAAAGCAGGTATCTGAATCACGTGGAGAGCTACCTGTGCCTCCTGCTGATGCAGAGGGTCTGGGTGGAGCCTGAGATTCGGCATTTTTGACAAGCTCCCAGGTGATGCCCACGCTGCTGGTACAGAGAACACACGGAATGGCGTTGCTTCAGAGTACCCAGTGGTGTGCAGTTTAAGTTCAGTGCTCATGGGGTATGTACTGTCTATGAAGAGAGAGAACTGAAATGTTCTCACAAAGAACTGGCTCCATCTATTTTTGATATGTACAGTTTTCAACAGATGTTTACAACAACAAAAATTAATACAGAACTTTAAAGCAAATTTTTCTGAAAGTGCACGACTAGAATACTCTTCAATTCTAAATTATTGATTTTAAATGTATTTATCAAGTAAAACCCAACAGCCAGTTTTCGTTTATAAAAGATTAGCTATCAAATAGATATTTGCTTCTCTGTTCTTGGTTGACTCTTGATATGACTTAACCCTATCCTTTGTCTTTTCTTTAAATTGTCAGCCTCTGGAGAAATAAAATTCTACATTCTTTTTTGCAAAGGATTAGCTAACAAATTAACACCAAAGCATAGTAATCATTAAGGGGTGTGGAGCATTTATTTACTTCTCTCAGATAACTAAGAAAGCCCAACGGGGATGGTAGGGGATTAGGAAAGGATTTGCCTTGGAAAAAGTACTTCATCCAAATGCTCCTCCAGCCTATTTCCTAAACCCATTCAGTATCCCTCAGAGATAATTTCTTCATGCAGTTGAACAGCAACAGTGTTCTGTTGAATTCACCAAAGTGCAGTCAGCTCTGTAGAGCATGCATAATACTTGAGAACATTAATGTAAATCTCAAAGCTCTCTCCTGGGCCTCCGTTTAAAAGGACTGACCCAAAGAATGAAACAGAACGAAGGTCACATTTCCTTCCCAGACAAGATCACCTGTGTTCAGGTGCAGGCACATCGTGACTTCATGGGAAATGGAGTAGATTCATTGTCTGCTTTGGCTCTCAACCGATTTGAGATTTGCACTTTGATGGGCATCTAAATGTTAGAATGAAAAATCCTCTACAGACAAGCTACATAAAGTAACGTCCTTAGTATTTAAAATATTCAAGATAATTCAACTGCAGAAAACTTCCTCGTCATCTGAAGTCAGGATGTGTCTGTGCAAGCAAAGAAAAAGTCAATTCAGCTGGGCCTAATTAAGTCATAACTTTTATTGCCTAGCTCCCTTAATCCTTGCCAGGAGTTACTGAGATAAACTAGTGATTACACTTTAAGGCAATAATTATTTTTCTTTCTTGGACAAGGAAAATTGTACCTCTGAAAGAGAAAAGTCGGGGTATGATACGGAAATGTTCACAGTTCAGTTGCGTAAAATAATACAAATTAAGGTAAATGACTTTTGGATGCTTTGTACAGTATCTGTAACAGATTTTTGCCAATAAACTTTTCATATGACTATTTAATCTTGTTTTTTTTCCAAAATAAAAACTTACTTGCCACTTTGTTGTTTGGGAAGTTATCCCTACATTCAGTGCACTTTTTAAAGTCTTAACACTAGGGGGAAATCTATTCCCCAGTTTTCAGTATTTTCTAGAAAAATTGTTTTTCTTTTCCTAATTTTAAGTGTATGTTCTAGCAAATCATTGATTCCTATATAATCACTGAAATATCATCATGTTAGGTATGTATAGCTAGCAAATAATGACAAATAGACTTTATGGATAGCACCTACTCTGTGCCAGGCATTGTTCTAAGTTTCCTACATGCATCATTACAATTGATCTTCACGGTCACCTCTGTCACCCCCTCCCCCACTGCTGGGTTAGAGCAAGCAAGGGCTCCAGGCCAGAGGCTAAACCCCTTGCGCCGCCCCCCGCCCCCCTTGCTCCCAGCTGGTGAGAGGCAGAGCACAGGCTGTGCGCCTCAGCCTCTCTGGGGAAGAGGGGCCCCTGAGACAGGTGATTTTATCTGGATCCCAAGTACCTCATCTGCAGGAATCATTAATTCAGATGAAAACCTCCACCTGTTCTTGTAAGATTAGTCTTGGGTCCTTCTTAATGCATTTTACCCGGTCATTTGTTTTTTTTACTTTGTTCCCACCGATAATTCAAATATAAACCTATTTGATTCATTAGCCTTCAGCACTTTGAGTATGGGATATAAACATAAAGGATTTGTTCTTGAATACGATAAATTACAACAGATTCTCAGCAGCCAGCTCACTAACATCTTTTGCTTCGGTCATCTTCACAGAACCACAAACTGTCATCATTTCTGGGCAAGTCGGTTTTAAGAATCTGCCCCCATCCATGTGAATGTGAATTGTAAGATATATTTTAAATGCTATCTATTGAATCATATGTATGTATATGACTTCTTCCATTAAAAGGTGAGAACAGTTAGAAAGTAGTAATGGGCATGTGTGGAATGAATTTCTGAGACCTATTTTAGCTAAATATTTGACAAAGTAAAATTTCTACCTAATAATTTAATAAATTATATTTTGCCTAATGACCTTTCAAGTGAACTGAAATTAAAACCTTATTTTTGCAATTGATATTGTGTTCCCTTCGACAACATCCCAAACATTAATTATTGTCATCAAGGAAACCACATGTTGCAGAAGTCACTGCCTAGCCTTTCTCACTTTTGTGTTTAATTTACAGAGTGGAAATACTCTTGCAGTAATTGCTCATGGGAATGCTGGTTTAAAGGAAATGTTTTGTATCGAATATATTATATAAGATACACATGTTATGGGTGGTTCCAAAAACCAGTCTAAACTTCATAATGATGTTATATTTTTCTCTTTTGTAATATATTATAATGAGATGTGTGTATTTTCTTAATATAAAATTTTGCATTACATAAAAAATGCACTATGAGTTTGTTTTTGTTTTTTAGCTTTTT